CACAATTGGCCTAAGTTGGTCTCTGTTTTATCCAAAACATCACAACTTACCAATTTCAAATGTACAAGAGTAGATAACCTTTTACTCTTACATTTGACTAGTGTTAACAAACCCTCTTTAAGATATGTCACTCAAGTTACAATCTTGGAGTATGACTCTAAGAATTGTTTTGGAACGAAGTATGACTCATCTTTTTGATTTAACCATTTCAACAATTCATGACTCCTCTTCTTGACTTTAGAGGACCAATTGTGATATGGTATCTTAATCATTAAGATGATCATAAACATGATACTAAAGTACTCTCCCATCTTTTCAGATTTGAGAAACTTTTATCTTTCTGCCATACTTTGATTCTTCTTATTCGTTCTGTCTCACATTGAAACTTCTCCAATGCTACAGACTTATACTTAAACTTATAAGTATAACCATATTTACTGAACTTAAGTAAATCATGACGAATAGTCTTCTTGATCTTTTGTGGTGGACTTGACCAGTGCACAAGAATGTGTACTCGATCCCTTAGTCCTTTCCTTATTCACATAAGGAATTAGTCTTAATTTTCCAAGCTGAAAGTTCTCATTCATCATACTATACAACTTGCATGATTCCAAGTTTCGGTCCAATTGAACCTTGGGTGATGAGAATCTTTCCTTATTTGGTAATATTAGACACTACCACAACCGAAAGAATCAAATCCATTTTTCCAATATTGCTATCAATGGAATCTTATAAGCAACAACTTTTCACAAATGCCATTGTAAGGATACTTAAAATAAATAAAATCAAAACCTTTTTCTTTTATTTTAAAACTTTGCGGAAAAAAACTTATCCTTACAATCCATATGAAAACCTTGTTGTTATCTATTCCTAAGCAATATAAATATCATAACTCTTAAGTAATAGCCCAAAATTCTGATCACCGAACCATGCGATTGAAATCCATCTTCGCGATCAGAATCAGCATGTACTTAATAGAGTTAGACAATGGACTTTACCTGAAGTAGAGCCAAACTTATTGACTTTAACATCCTTAGGTAAATTTGGCAGCTTCGTAACCAATGCCCCTTCCTTTGGCAATAGTTACCTATGGACCCTTGATAATGGGACTATCTCAGACTTCGCCTCTCTCTTTACCATTGGGTCAACCGAGTTGACTATGGCCGATCCCTTTCCATTGGGAAGAGAGAGCTTTACTGGATATCCAATGTCATCATTGTCAATGTCCATAGCGTTTTAGGAAGTTGATCTTAGCAAATAGATAAGATCATTAAGGGTCTTGTCTTAGTCTGTTTCATAGGATTCCCAAAAGAACTCACTATGTGACTTAGAAAGTAGTTGAGCCACCAACTTTCTCAAGACTTTGACACCCAACTCTCCCGGCTTGTCAATATGTGACTACATCTCCAAGATGTGATCACACCTAGACCTTGCCTTGCCAATAGGGCTTGAGTGACCTTAAACTTTTTAGGAACTTGTGGGTTAGGGAGAATAATTGGAGGAGGTGAAAGAAGTATGATATCCATGGGACATCATCTTCATTTAGGAAAGCTTGTTTCAAGAGATTTGGGAAGATCATAAATGTCTAGACCAGACATCTTTTTGGGAGATATTCAAGATAGTTGATTTAAAGTCCTTAATATGACACCCAATATGAAATATTAAGGCTAGGACCCAACAAACTATTTTATAACTTAGAAGAGGGATGCCGTAATCCAAGCTATAAAATATTTGAAGGTAGGTGAATGACGATTCACCAATTTCCACCATGAAAAACGAAATAATTTATTAGGTTTTAATTGGATTTGAAAGTCCTAGATCTTTGAGATTCATTGAACTGTTCAAAGGCATGTTTCAATCTCGAGTGTGCCCTTCAGGTTTTGTGACTGGGATGCCGAGGATCACAAAACAAGGTGTGAATAACCATGCAAATATACTTGGTACCCTTAATATTTACCCCTTAATCAGTGTGCCGGTTAACCACACACGCTCCACCGATACTATGATAAATATTAAGTTACCCTTTGCCTACCTTGTTAAGTCCAGGTTAGTGGCCGGTTAACCACACACGCTCCACTAACGACTTAAGCAAAGTGCAAAGTGTAATTTCATGGGTTAGCACCAAATTCACATTTTCCTAAGTAACTAAGATTGGGTATTAATAAGAGTTTAGTTACTTAGTATTTATCATTAATACTTTTAATGAAAGGAGAATTATAGTCCTTGTCCTACCCGTTCGGCTAACGACCCTCCACCAGTCAAGGAAGCGGTGGGTGAGAGTGGACACCCATTAAACTGCCATTTTATAGGCAGTAACCTTATACCCCCCTTATAGACCGGCTTCGTGAATGAGGCCTACTAACGGTAAGACTGACTTTACTCTTATACATATATATAAATATTATTAACTTATAATATTATAAAGTATAAGGGTTGAATTTTAACTTTTAAAATTCTAAGGGCTAACTTGGAATTAAAGTATTCATAAGTGAAAACTTTTCAAATTCCAAAACTTGAGGGCAAGTTTTGAAACTATTCAAAACTAATTAATTCCATAACTTATGAGTTTAAAGTAGTTTTAATTAAAAAAAAAAAAAAAACTCTTCAAGTTCCATAACTTGAGGACAAGTTATGGAAGACTTTAAACTAATTAATAAAAAAAATAACTTTTTTTTATTGTAACTTATGGAACTAATTAAGGTTACACTTTTTTTTTAATTTAATGAAGAGACTCTTGAACCTCCATAACTTGAGGACAAGTTATGGAGTCATAAAACCATTTAATTAGAACTAGACTCTTCATTTTGTAACCTTTGCCAACTTTTATGAGTTTTATGATTCTTAAATGTGACTTTTCATATAACTTGAGGACAAGTTACAAAAACACTTTGGAATCAACTCTTAGATTAAAATGGATTGAAAACAACTATTTCACACAACTTTTCTATTAATCTAAGAACCTCATAAGAACAAGATAATTCAAATCATCAATCTTCAAGAAATTAGCATGAACATACAAACTAATACAAATCTTGAAATTATGACAATTATCTTAGAAATTGGATTAGCATGAACATTACCACATAAAAACAAGTTTATAAGTCCAAAAACATCTTAGGGTAATGTTCCTAGTCCAATTCCAGCCAAAACAATCGAATATATGCATCCAACTCGATTTTTCAGCTACTTTTGCAAGTATAACAAGAAAACAAGCCTAGGCTCTGACACCACTGTTGGGTTATGAGCATTCTAACACTCCTAAGTGTACATGCAACCCTAAATACCTTGGATCTATGTTTTCTCTATTATACATACAATTATGAACATCCAAGGTATTATCCTAATCTAGCATACAAAATAATAAATATAACAAGATATAATACATACCTCTTTGATGTAGAATGTCTTCATGAAGCTTGAGTGCCTAGTGCCCCAAGTGTGACACCTCAAATGGTTCACACAACACCAAATACACTTGGAATAACTTGAGAGAAACTTGAACACTCCTTGAAATCGTCTAGCCCTCACACTCACACATTAGTGCCCGATTTCTTGAGCCATGAGATTCTTTTATATGGTGGCTATTAGGGTTACACCATGTAACTCATAACTTTACCCATTCCTTATGCTCCATGGATTTTAACCTCCATGGAGTATCCATGGGTCACCCCATGGACTTAGTCCAACATAAGGAATCTTGGATCACAAGCTCACATATATAAGAATGAATGATTTACACAATCAACCCATATATTTAATTAGTCTCCTTTTGATCACTTAATTAATTCCAAATTAATTCTTGATCAATACTAATTAAATAACCTTATTAATATATTAGAACTTATAATATATTAACCAACCTTAAGTGTTATTTCTCTCATTATAGTCTATCCAAATGCATGATGCCATGCAACCCAAATGGACCATGCCGGGTCGGGTCAAGTCTTACCAATTATAGTTATGGACTTAGACATTAATCCAACAGGTTTGTGTTGGCCAACCTTGGTTTGGATTTTCCCAGAGGTTAGTGTTGGCCTTTGGGGGTCTTGGTCGTGGATATCATTTGAATAAGCTTTGGGGGCCAGGGCGTCTGTTCTGATGAGCTCAACGCTCACCCATAGGTTAGTCTCCATGAGTCGAGGTTTTAGTTAGCCCGTAGGTGCGAACTCTGGCTTGTTCGTTCCGTTAGGATCTCTTTCTTAGCTGAAAGCCTTCGCTTTTGGGGTTTGCTCTAAGCCATGGTTCAAGGGGAGTTGTACTCCAACCCTATTCATCTAAGCAAAATCGAGGTCGTCACCTCGGGATCTAAGAGATTAGGCATTATGTATTTCGAGGGAAAGGTTATGATCCTTTAAGGCCTCTTACTTATCGTGATCAGGAGTTGCAGCTCTCTTGACCTCATCGACATGTTTATTAGGGAGAAGTGATGGGCCTTTGAGGCTTATGATTGTCTTTTGTCTCATTGGTTTTGTGTTGGTGGCACGGGTGATCATTCCGTTATTATTTTTCATTTATACGAAAGTATGTCGATACTCGTTCGCTACAAATTTTCTTTTCATTGCATGTTTTTTAGTGCCTTGGAGGCATCTACCTTGTCAGATAAGTATCGAAAGTCCGATAGCTTTTGCTATTCTAGGTTTAACTCTTGGGCTGACTAGTTGGGGCGTGATTATCCGTTAGGAGTTTGATCACTTGGCCCCTTCCCTTGATTCCCCTCGAGACAAGGCTATTGGCTTGGGCTCTGGGGCTCTCAGGTAATTGGGACAAATTCTTCTTCTTGGTCTTCCTTGGCTTGTATCCCTCGGCGGCTCGAGTCTGCGAGCTTTCCAGCGTTCGTGCTCGTATGCGAGCCGTGATTGGCTGTTTCTGTGTTAGTCGTCTTTTGGAAGATGATTTTAAATTTCCTCCACTCTCCGGTTTTGGTCACTTGGTCATCATATTTGGGTGGTTTTACTTCCTTCTGTGTGACTTTTTCATTGCTAGCTCTGTTTTCTGTGAGGTTACTGACTTGGTGCCGTCCTGGGGGAAGCCTCTGCCAGCTGCATAATCTTATGGTCGTAGCGAGTCTCCTGTTTACGTTCTCTTTTTTTAAGGTGATTTCCTATCCTCACTGCTCTGGTACTGGCGGCTCCTTGTTTGTGTCTCTTGTCGAGCTCCGTGACTTCGCGGGTGTGTTCCTTCATTCCCTTCTTTTCCATACCCTGTGCCCTTGCTGCCCTAAGGCGTGTAGGTACACTTAATAACGTCCAACCTCGTTTGGTATTCATGAGGACGATCCTTAATGCTTTTGGAGTGGTAATACTATTGCTATCGCGCCCTTCCCCTCGGGCTGTTCGTTAGGGGTTGGCGTCCTTTCCTCTTGTCTTGGATGTTCGTTTTTTTGCGCTTGACCGTGTGGGTGTTAGTTGTCTTCGTGCGCCGCATTTGTGGAATGTGTGCAGTAGCCCAAGCGGCGATCGCCTGAAGTGGTTTTGCCCGTGTGCTTAGAGTTGTCACTATCGTTGAACCGTTTTTCGTTTTGAACTTGATTGTACCGTGTATTGTTGATGGGATGGCTTGTAGCCAGAAGAGAGCAGGTCGCCCTAGGATCATATCGTCTTCTGACTTGTGTTTAACTACCGATAACTCTATTATCCTTGTTACCCTTTCCTTTTTCGTCGTGGTTGAGTAGTGTCAACGGGAGTTTTATGGTTCCGAGTGGCCATAATTTGTGTCCCGTGAAGCCAACGAGCGGGGCTCGGGTTGGTGGTCTTAGGCTTCTCTTCCAGCACTCGAGGCAGTGCTCATAGAGTACATCGGTGCTGCTACCTCCGTCGATTAGGACTCGCCAGATCTGATGTTGTTGTACGAGGGCGGGGATTATGATTGAATCTGTGGGACGCTCTCGGTTTTACGATTACTACAACTTTCGTTTAGATCACTTAGGTTAATAAGCGATCTATCTTTGATTCACTATTTACGACATTCGATGTCGTACTAGGTCGAACGCAAAACTTCAACGGGTCATAACTTCTTTGTTCTAAGCCCGATTTGAGCGTTCCGTATATCCCCAGAATCCTCATCACGACTCCTTCGACTTTCATCAAGGTTATTTGTCATAATTATTATTCTATTTAAGACGCGTATTTTACTTCTTATTTTATTATATTGTTTTAAGCACGTATACTACATAATATAACTACCCATAGAACACATAATACTAAATAATTCTCTTTATTTATTCTTTAAAAGGTTACAAGTGTTGACTATTACAATTACGTTATTTTATTAATGCCTAGTGAGAAAATAAGAACGCTATATTGATGTTCTCATGCTTCAAAAAAATTCTTATGTAATAAATATTATATTATTCCTAATACATAGATATTGTTGTAAATAGATATTGCTTTACAACAAGCAAGTGAAACATCATATTTAATATTAATGAATACTATTTTTTAAAGATAAAACACAAAGCCATACAAATTATGTATTGTTTTAAATTTACCACATATTCATTAGTAAATACATATAAATATTAAATGAATATTGCATTAACAATATGTTTTATTATATGATTAAAAATTTCAAGTATGTAAAAAGCCCACAAAATTTTTCTATAGGTGGTTTTGATATTGTTTATGAAAAACATGAAATATCCTTATTTTTGGTAACTATTATAACTCCATGGTTGTAGGAAACAATTATTCTTCATTATTAGTTAATTATGATAAATAGTAAAATTTCATTCATGTCCTTACGTAATGATCAGTCTACAATTGTTATCGCGTTATCAATATTTTCATGTTCTCAATATAACCTCATCACACACACAAATACACAAATACACACACACATACATACATATATATATATATATATATATATATATATATAAGTTTTTTTTTTGAACTCTTTAAATAAATTAGAAAAACCTAAAATCAAAACCATAGGTAAAAGAAAACCTTTAGGTTGAATTGTTTTGTAACGTGAAAACGAGTTAGCCGTCTAGGTCAAGATTTTATTTTCAGTTTCTCATATCTTCCAAACCACACAACCCTCTCGACCACTCCCTAATCCTTAAGATCCCGCTATCCACCTCTGAATTATTATTTTTTTCCTTTCCGTTTAATCAACTCATTCTCTTTCAACATGTTTAGTGTTTTAACCTTACGTACCACACAATATTTTAAGATATATCCTAACCTGAAACCCAACACAAAAATAAAATATTAAAATAACATGACACGATAATTAAATGGGTCGAATTAGAATTAGGATGACATTTCACATTAAGTAGAAGGAGAAAGGACGAAATATGTAATTTTACTCATGTGAAAAGACCCACCCTATGGACCGTAGTGCAAAAACCGCCCTTCAATTTCACATCGAGTGTAGAAAAGAGGGAGAGGACTGCCCTTCTGTATAAAAAGCAGCTCTCTTCTCCGATTCGAGGGTTAACCCAAACACATCCACCAACAGAACCCTTTTCTCTATACTCTTTGGGCTTCTGGGGCCTCATTTCTCTTACACATAAACCCTTTTACTCCCTTTCTTGATTTTCAATTTACTTTGATGTTTATGAATCCCTTGTTAATCTCTACACAACCAGGTCAATCTGTCCCGCCCTCTTGTTTTTCTGTATGATTTAATCGATTATCCTCGATTTGTTTGACTGTTTCATATCAAATTGATATTTTTTGTTTTGTTTTTGCAGTATAAAGGAGTGTAGAGGAGTAAAGAAGAAGGGTTGTGAATCTTATGGCGGGTACCCTAAGATCGAGCTTGCCGTCGAGGTTACGGCAGCTTTTATCCGGTGAAGGACCTATCGGTCCGAATGTTAAACTTGACTCTGAGACTGTAAGATTTTTGCCCCCTTTTAGTAATTCTTCGCTTCCGTGAAGTGTTTATGCGTAGTTTTATTGGGGGTTTCTTGTTTTTGGTGTTGAATTTCGTTTATTGGTTGAAGTTAGGGCTGCATTCTGTTGGTGTTATTGTTTCGAAGTTCTTATGTTGATAATTAATTAATTGATGTGGAGGTAGGGTACTCTGTGATTTAAGTAACATGACTAGAAGGGTTCGCCTTGCTACATATAGTAATTGTATGCATTCAGGTACAGTTTCAAGTGTCACTGGATCTACATTGTATTTAGGGTTTGTAGTTTTTAGGCACACCAATTAAAAAAAACAACAATTTGAGTTTTGATACAAAAACTAATACTCTCCAAAAGTCCAAATGTAAATAGATATGGACTTCCTTAGTTCCTTTCAAATGGTTGTTGGAGTTATGCTTTTTCTTCCCTGGATGTTTTAAAATCCAAGTTTTAAGTACAAAAGTAACTGTGTTGTCGTTGATTCTTACTTATGATGCAATTACAGTGGCGTTTAAGCATATTATCTGATATAGAACAACATCATTGAAAGATTTTGTGGGGTTTCTTGTGGTGTATGAATGTGATTGATTAATAAATATCATATTAGGGCTAGTTTTTGGGGATGCTTTTCTTTATAGCAAAATTATGACTTGTTAACTTCTGTGCTCTTGTTGATTCTTAGTTTATCCACAATCAAATTAGTAATTATTGAAGCCATGATGAGTTCTAATAGCATGATCTAAGGATTACCTGTACGTAGTTATATGACCCTTATTTGTGTACTTTTGGAAGATACGAATGGGATGTATGTGCTTGAAGTAGATCTCAAGATTTTATGCACTTTTTCTACCCTTCTCTCATAAAATTTATGCTTCAAATACTTTGCTTTATTGTAGTTTTGTATTCATTCGTTCTTTTATCTTGTTTCCTTCCTAAAGGGCTGCATTTTTGTTGAACTTTTTAAAACCTAATTCTATTTGTAAGTATATAACTATATATGCATCCTGTAGCATAAGATTATACACCACAATTGACATAGGTGTTACCCTGAACTTTTTATAAAGAAAGAGGGGAAATTCTTCATTTTGGTTCCTTTCATACTCGTCTGTAGCGGGGGTTGGGGGATCATAATGGGGTATCTAATGAAAATAAGGCTTTACTTATCAGTAGGATATTAGATTCTTGTGATGCTTGCAGAAGATTATTTATTCGCTTATATTTTGTATTTCTTGTCTTTACTAAGTTAACCATGTCATTTTTTTTGCAGCCCCCAAAAGTGAAGGCATTCATCGACAAGGTGATTCTGTGTCCATTGCAAGACATAGCAATCCCTCTTTCAGGTTTCCACTGGGAGTACAGCAAGGTGATAAGATCATATTCATACCCTTACCCTGTGCCACCTTTTGAGTTTATATACTGCCTGTAGTTTGCTTAACCATGTGATTGTTATCAGGGAAATTTTCATCATTGGAGGCCACTGTTTCTGCATTTTGATACATACTTCAAGACATACTTGTCTAGCAGGAAGGACCTTCTTTTAGCAGATCCTTTAGAAGATGATACCCCTTTCCCTAAACAATCTGTTCTTCAGATTCTGCGTGTCATGCAAATAATTCTCGAGAATTGTCACAACAAAAGTTCCTTTGATGGTTTAGAGGTATAGTGATATCCATATACCGTTGCTCTTTATCAGTTACACTGTATGATCTTTTTATATTTGTCTCTAAGGCGTGGTTTGTTTGTTCAGCATTTCAAGCTGTTGCTTGCATCAGCAGACCCCGAGGTTCTGATTGCTACCTTGGAGACTCTTTCTGCATTGGTGAAAATAAATCCCTCAAAACTTCATGCAAGTGGGAAGCTGGTAGGATGTGGTTCAATAAACAGTTGTCTTCTATCATTAGCGCAAGGATGGGGAAGCAAGGAAGAGGGTCTGGGCTTATATTCATGCGTTATGTTAAATGAAAGAACCCAAGATGAAGGTCTAACCCTGTTTCCATCTGATGTACAAACCGAAAATGACAATTCTCAAAACCGTGTGGGGTCCACTCTCTATTTTGAGTTGCATGGTGGTGATGCTACATCTACCAGCACAAGTGTTATTCACATCCCTGATCTTCACTTGCGTAAGGAGGATGATTTGTCTTTGATGAAGCTGTTGATTGAGCAGTATAGTGTGCTCCCTGAGCATAGGTTCTCATTGCTGACTAGGGTTAGATATGCTCACGCCTTCCGTTCTCCAAGAATCTGCAGGCTATACAGCAAGATATGCCTTCTTGCTTTTATAGTTCTTGTTCAGTCAAGTGATTCGCATGATGAGCTTGTGTCCTTTTTTGCTAATGAGCCGGAGTATACAAATGAGTTGATCAGACTAGTGAAATCTGAAGACACGATACCTGGAACAATTCGTACGCTTG